TAGACAGAGTTTCTTCAATCACAACCTTCAAACTGTAAGCATAAAAACATGTATTAGTCAAGAAGTTTTCTAAGCTAAAATCAGCTGTAGTTGAATGAATGGTACATTGTTATTCACCTTTTGAACATGTTTTTTATACACCTGTCAGCTGATGTCTAGAAGATGACTTTAGAAACCCAAGTGTCAAAACTGAAGTCCCCTCACCGACTTGGACAAAAAAATCCAACATGGCTGCAGTATTTAACTAGCATTTCTGATCATTTGTGTATAAATAAATCAGTCATTATTTTATTGTTTTTAAAGAATTTAATGCTGTTGGTATTATTAGTTAACCTACTAATCTGAAAATCTGAGTATTTAACTCTGTTTGTAAATAACTACTATATGTTAGTAGGCCGATATTTAATCAGCATTGTTAGTAGATTCTGTGATGTTGGACAAAACAAATTTTTGGTTTATTTTGACCTGTAAATAATAAAACCTTTGCACAAACCATTCTGTTTTAGTGAAAAAAAGAACATTGAACCAATAAAAGAAATGAAATATAAAAAACATAGTAAGATCACCTTTATGTTAGAGTTCTTGTTCTGTTATGTTTTTCTTTTGGATGCTCAGTTTTGCTTTGCTCTGTCTCTCTGAGCCTCTGAGCCTTCCTCCTTGTGATTGTTATCCCTCTGATGTCTCCATGGTTTACTGTTAGTTTGGCCTTTGTTTTCATTTTTGGATTTTTGATCCCTGGTTTCCTGTTTGTTTGAACTTTCTTTTTCATATTTGGATTCTGGATAACCTGCTTCTGCATTCACTTAACTCATCATTAAATCCACAAGAAATTCACCTTTGCCTCCCTGCCTCTGCTTTTGGGTCCTCAAGCCACAACAAATCCTGACACTTTATTGTCCCAGAACAGGGCAATGTGCATGTGACAGTTGAATAAAACACATAGAACTAAAAGTTATAAAAATAACATTTAAAAAAATAAGCTGTGCTGCAGACCAGCACAGAAACACCTCCCAGATGTAAAACTCTGTCACTAAATAAGCTTAATGCATGAGGTCAGAGACATTGTCCAACAGTGATGTTATTTTCCTTACAGTCCTTATGTCTCCAAACACCTGCACTGTGTCCGGGGGTATCCAAGGACTGAGCTGGCCTTCCAATGAGCATATGCACTTGTTTCTACTCAGCTGCACATATGTTGTTAGCCCAATATTCAGTAACACTCTTACTCGACGCCAGTTTTTTGTTAAAGTGAACACCCAGATACTCTTAAAAGTCCACTGCCTCAGAATCAGTTTTCAAGATGATCTGAGGTGTCAGTGTGGTGGGTCTGCTCTGGAGGAGATCCAACCAGCTCCTTTGTTTTTTACGTAAATGTGATTCCAAGGTATTTCTGTAGGTTATTTTAAAGCTTCTCCTTCTATAGATTATGCAGTTCATTTTCATCATATAAACTTGAGACAACTGAGTGAAAGCGTATATATTTTGTGGTGTTTCTTTCCTCAATAAAGCTACTGAATGAGTGAGTACTGCCATCGACTTTTTTACCATTCTCTGGATTTTATCGTGGATGAATACTTCTATGTATTTAGTATGTATGTTATTTTTTCTCAAAATGGCTTTGGAGGAAGTTTCTTTTAGCTGAAAGAGAGTTTTCCTTTCCAATGTCTCTACATGCATGGTAGAGACAAAGGGTTGATGCAAGGTTAATGTCAAGATGCAACCTATTGGGTTTACTAGGACAGAAAACATTTTAACAAGTCTGTGTGGATTATTTGAATTAACCAACTTTAAAAGATTTCTTGAGATGATGTATGTAGTGATATGGGGGTATGTTTAACTGAATTGTATTAAATTCATTTTATCACTGAGGTGCAATGCTTATCATTGCACTTAATTAGACTTAAACGGGGATTACAAATTGTATACTAAAATAGTCGGATGTGGGAATGAATGAGACCTACATATAAACCTTCAAATATTTATTAACCGTAGAAACAAGTCAGATACCCTCAGGTGTAAAGCTATGATATATAATAGATGATGGTGCCTCTTAGTAAGAACCCAAAAGTGCCAGCTGTGTTCTTGTTGTATCTTTGACTAACAGAAGTAAAATATGTAGAGTTGGAATACATTTTATCACAAATTCTTTCTATTCTTGTATAATATATGTCTGTGTGTGGCCTCAGGGGGCTCCAATAAAATGGTTGAATCAGGTCAGGTCATATCATGAGCTCATACCATCATGCATACTAGTTTAGGCAATTTTTTTTGTTTTTTATAAGTGATGCCTTTAAACAAAAAAGATACAATTTAATCTGTACATCAGATCTAAAAGTCATCAAACTGAACCACAGCAGTATGAACAGGCAACTATTGTGAAGCGTGAGTGTTGATGGTGAAAAACTAGCAATATTTTTAACACTGTGTTTAAGTGATGTTAAAAGCTCATTTAACAACTGATGTTTAGATCTATATAGGTTTATCAGTTAATTAGTATTATAGCCATTCTTTAGTTTTCATACTTAAAAGTCTCTAGAGTATTACAGCACAGTTACCTAAAATACAGCCAGGGTTACTATATTCTTGAAATTAATTTTTTACTGTTTAGGTTATATTATTGTTGTTGATATCTTCTAAAAGTAGGAAGAAAAACAATATTGATTTCAAGAATCAGGCCAAAAATGTCAAAATAATCGGTATCGGCCTTAAAAACCTGTATTTGTCAATATCTAGTGTCCTAGAAGTATATTCAGGAAATATATCATAAGTCCTTTAATTCCACACTTTACAAGAAAAGTTAGGAAATTGATGCAAATAACTGCATCCCGTCATGAAGCACCTACTGGAGACAAGTTGAACTCTAATGTAGTTAAAAAAAAATAGAAAATATATACATAATAATAAATAAAATGTAATACTGCTGCCTAAACTGCAAGGGATTTAAAGATTTCCCTTAAATAAATACAGTTTTTCTCTAACATTTGAAATATAACAAGTAATACTGCTGACTGAATCTAGAAATACGATTTGAATAAAAAATATTTCAGATATTTGAAAGTCTTATATCGAGATTAAACAATAAAGAAGGAAGGAATAAAGAATTCAAAATGTAAAATCTTGAAAAAACCATTAGGTTAAAAATTTATTTTGGACAGTTTGCATCAAGGTTAGTTGGGCAAACGTCTCTCATGTGTACAGATAATTAGAAATTAATTAATTTTGTAAACAAATGCTCCTGAGGTCATATACTCAGTTATTTCATAATGCAATGCTATGAGCAAGGATGTGCTAGCCATTTTGATTCCCTAAACACAAATGCCTTGCGATGCCTACCATAAAAGATGTCATCATAGAACACATACTAATTATTAAAAAATGTCTACTTTGGCATTTCACATCATGGTTAATTTAAAGTAGACATATAAATAAATAAATTTTGACATTTAATCAAGATTAATTGCATGAATGTCCATAGTTTCCATGGCAAAAACTATACTTTTACAAAAAAAAAAGATCCAGAAGTACTTTTATTCATACACTTCCACTCAAGGTGAATGTCGTTGTAATGGAGGAAAAAGAGAAATTAACACATTTCATATGGGATTAAATATGTATTAAATAATTATGATTCAAATATAAAAGAAGGAAACAAAGTGCGATGAATTTAAACAAAACTGTGTCAGCCCCATGGAGAGGACGATGCAAGTGTGTGACTATTACATAAACTTCTGTGCTTCCAACACCATCCAGAACAGTGAAATGCTTCCCAAATAATTAACCCTGGATCAGAAGAGATATGAAGGAACTGCTTAACAAGAAAAAAAACAAGCCATTAGGAAGGGAGAAAGGGATTTATGGAGGAGCATTCCAAAGCGACTTCAAGTCAAGATGAGGGTAAGCAAGCAGGCATACAGGAAAAGGGTTGGAAAGCAAGATCGAACATCAAAGATGTTTGGTCAGGGAAGAAGAAGATCATAGGCTTCAAGGAGAAGGATGATCAGACAGATGTAAGTCTGGACAGAGCCAGTGAACTGAATAATTATTCCATTGAGTTCAAGAAGAAACTCAACATACTCCACTTTTGCCCTCAATCAAATGGACATCTCACCCTCCTTTGATCCAATGCTTCTCTGTTAAACCTCCAATGTTTCATCTTCCACCTCTGTTGTTGTTTCTCCTGCTGTGAGTTTGTTGTTGGCCAAATCAGATGTTGCTGCTCCCTCCATGTTCACCTGTCTGTCTCTAGAAGTCAACTGAAGAGGCAACTTGATAGATTGAGTAATAATAAGTCACCAGGTCCAGATGGTGTCAGCACCAGAGTCCTGAAGGCCTGTGCAGAGCAGCTCTGTGGGATTTAACAGCACCTCTTTAACCATAGCCTGGCTAGTGGAGACCAGTGATGCGGACAGTACCTGCCTTGTTCCAGCACCAAAGAAAACTCAGCCAACTATCCTCAACAACTAGAGACTTGATGCCCTGACATCCCACATCATGGGGGTCTTAGAAAGACTTCTGTTGGTTCACCTGAACTAGGGTAACAAAAATCAATAAATATCTTATGTTATGACCATATAAGATGAAACTAATATAAAATCATGCCAATCAACACAGGTATGAGAACTAATCGAACTGATCACTGGGAGGTGGTGCCTCCATCAGGCTTCCCCCTCAATGCCACTCTCATCAACACCCACTCAGGGCAGAGGGTGGGATTTCCAAACACAATGCCCTAACCAATAGGCCACTATTCCCTAAAGCGTGAAGAGTCTTGCCTAAGGACACACTTGCAGCTTATTCCCCCAGCCAAGACACAAACCCAGGCTTCCTGTTTGCAGGACGGGTGTCTTACCACCTGAGCGAGCAAGCCACTTTAAGTGAAGTTTTTATCACTGCTGTACTTTAGAAATGGAAATGTCTTGAGAGCTGTACAGAACAAAATTTTGTTTTGTAGACATTCTGTTTCTACAAAATGACAATAAAGTCTGTCTAAGTCTATGTCTAAGAAGTGCATCATTCCCAGAAATGCTGCATTACCAGGTTGACGTGTGGGTGAACAGAGTAGGGCCTTGTTACATCTCCCTGTTCCAAAAAGCATTTTAATATATGGTCCCCGGATAGGGGACATATCAAATATTTAACTTATAAGAAGAGATACTACACTTAATTTTAGCCCAAATGACGGTTGCGATCTGACATTGGAGTGGAGAGCGTCGTCATCTACCTGCTGCTGCAGGTGCTCACCCACCTGGAGACCACCGGGAGTGCAGTGGGAGTCATGTTCTTTGACTTTTCCAGTGCTTTTGACGCCATAAGACCAGAGCTGCTGAGGGGGAAGCTAGAGGACACTGGAGTGGACAGGCATCTTGCTGCCTAGACCAACAACTACCTCCTGAAATCCCTCAATACGTGAGGCTGCACGGCTGTCAGTCAGAGGTAATAGTCTGCAGTACCAGGGCCTCCCAGGACACCGTTCTGTTTCTGTCTGCCTTCACCTGCAACACAGACAACTGCCATCTTAACAAGTTCTCCGATGACTCAGCCATTCTAGGCCGTGTTTCTGAGTAGAACGAGCTGGAGTATCGAGTGGTCATCATGAACTTAGTGGACTTGTGTGAGAAGAACCACCTGTGTCTTAACGTCAGTAAGACCAAAGAGGTGCTGATCGACTTCAGGAGAAGAACACAGACGCCCTGTATAAGAAGGGCCAGAGCCGCCTCCACCTCCTGAGTAGGCTGAGGTCCTTTGGAGTAAGCAGGCCCCTGCTTAAAACTTTCTATAACGCTATTGTGGCATCTACCCTCCTCTACGCTGTTTTCTGCTGGGCAGAATGGGACAGAAAGAGACTGAACAAACTAGTGAGAAGGGCCGCTTCTGTCCTAGGCTGCACTCTGGACTTTGTGGAGGAGGTGGCTGAGAGGAGGGTGCTGCCCAAGCTTACATCCATCATGGACAACACCTTCCACCCTCTGCACCCATATAGGAGCTAAGCAGCTCCTTTAGTAAAAGACTTTTACACCCTGTTTGTAAAAAGGAATGCTACTGCAGGTCATTCATCCCAGCTGCAACCAGACTCTACAATGCTGAAACAATCACTATTCGATATCCTGTGCAACAACTTGTATCGCTATATTTGACGCCCAGTGCAATAACAAAAAAAGAAAGAAAAAAAGCTCTCAGCTGTCATATGTGGACTCACTGTATATATTCCATGCACCTTTTTCTTCCTTCGGGACATTCTTTTCCTTTGACTATTTGAGCTGATGTAACAATTAAATTTCTCCACTGGGAGATAAAAAAAGACAATCAATCAATCATTCAAATATACAAGGGTATATTTGTATTGTTTGATTTAAAAATGTATTATTTGATCTAAGATATGAAGGTCACTAATATATCATCAAGTGTCATTTTTCAGAAGTTGGTGATTGCTTTATGTCATTAAAGTGTATCTCAAAATATTGCAATGTAGCATTTTTCTATGTAAATGCTTGGAAAGTAACTAATATCTTGCCTACAGAGAAAGATTCAGCTCAAATGATAGAGCTGTGTTATATTCTGTCGTTGTCAATGTCAATTTATTTATGGAGAGTTTTAATCTGATACGAAACACACTGGGAGGGTTATTGCACAGGAATTTCTTGGTCAGCTAAGACACTAAACGAATCAGAGGAGAATATTATATATAGAGGTTCAGCACAGATGCACCCGCGTGGGCTATTCCCTCTCGCTCACTTCTTTCTCCCCATCCTGCAAGCCTCTCTCTGCCTATGAGTAATACTGCTTATTTCTTCGTCACAGTGTTGCAGAGTCACACATTTATTCTATTGAGTTATTCTGTTTCCACTTTCAGAAGAGGATAGACCTGCAACAAATTTCAGTTTTCAGCAGAAGTTCTACTTGCAAAGATGGGAACTTCATAGAGTCCGAACCCACTGTTAATCTGGACAGACAAGAGTACTGATAAGAGATAAAAATCTCACATCATCATTATTTTCTTCAACTTTTAACATCAAGATATTTAATTTAGTTTTTTTCATAACAAAAAAGCTGATTATCGTAATTTCTTTTAGAAATATAAATCATTAACCTCTTGTCAAACTGTAATTATGTTACTGATGGGGTTTTTTCATCAAGATACTGTATGTTTTTCCTCATTTCTTCATTTAAATTACAAAACAATCGCTCAAAAAGGCTATCACTGTTTTATAGGGGAATAGACTCCTTCAATAGTGTGCTTCACTCCATCTGTGTTCATGTATTTGAGTTATAGGACGCAGGGGGAACAAAGGATTTCCATGACACAAGGGGCCCAGGATGGCACTAAAGATGGGGGGAGGTTGAGGGAGGAAGAGGATAAATTAGGAAAACGTTAGCCCAGTGGAGCCATGAACAGCTAGGGAGGAGTCCAAAACAACAGGAAAGGGGTTTAGAGGATAAATGAGGAAGAAATAAAAGAGAAGTTCCAGAAAGGCATGCTTTAATGGTTTTAGAGTTGAGTACTTTTTTTGGATTTAGTTTCGGTTCTTTTTTAGCCCAAGACTCATTCGAATTCGTCAGAAAGCTCAAAGGGAGTCTGCTTCAGCCAGCTTAGCTTTGCCCATTTAATGGAAGGCTTTGCTGAAGTCAGTGAGGACCAGTTAACTGAATTTTGAGCTTAAAAAGTCAATGTGAGCAACGAAAGTCATTTTAACCTTCTGATCCATGACAATCCTCAACTCTTGCCCAAACATGTGAAGCTTGTATGGTTCATCTGCAGCAACTCTAACTTAACAGGTTGGCTAATTACAGTGTGAGTTTATCTTTGCAAAAATAAGGATTTTACTTAACCTTTTACTTCACAAATGGGTTCATTTTAAATTAATGTGAAATTATCTCAGCTGTTTTAAGCTGGTCGACACTTTATTTAGCTGAAGGTTTTTTTACTGTCAGCTGTGAGGATAATGTCTGGAGCATTTCCACGCTGTCACGCTTTTCTAGAAAATGCTTTATAAAATCTGGTTTGATGGCTGATTATCAGTGCACACCCAGACGTCTGTTGTTCCTCCAACAATAGAGTACCACCACCAGCCTGTCTCATTTTGTGTATGCGTGTGTATGTGTGTGTGTTAATCATGTCTCTCTTATCAGCGACCGTCAGACCTAGAGAGACGCTGATGTGCTCCCTGCTGATAGCTGCACACACAGAGGTCTCACCCCTTCCCCCCCTTTGGGGTTATTCAATAGAGAACTAATAGACCTCATCCAAGGAAATAAAAGCAGAAGATCATTACCAGGCAAGAACGACTGCTCAGTGAAACAATAACTAACAAACATCTGATGAGACACCGGCCTCTTCACAGACAGTTACTGGGAGGGAACAACTCAAAATTAAAATGGGTCCTTGCACAAAAAATCAATTTTTGATATTAATTCCAGAAATTTCCTCTACTGAAAATATTATCTTTCTAACAGAAATTAATTATATCTCAGATAACAGCTTGGTAATAATTGCTTTCAAAAAGTAATATGGAACAGATACATTTTTTTTAAAAACATTTTACTACTAAATAAAAACTATGATCTCTAAGTTCTTTTTTTCTTTATAGAAAAATACATAGCATTATATTTATCAAGCCTTGACTTGTGTCTTTATTTAAGTATTTAAATTTTAGAATAATCTTTTTCTTTTCATTGATTTCCCGATAGTCCGCTGCTTGTTCCTCTCAATTGCAGCTTAAACTAAAAAAAATATGAATCAAGCTGACAAAAAAGTGTCGCACATATTATGCACCATCTTGCAATAGCAGTTTTATATGTTAACTTTAATTTATTCTATTATAATTTGTTGTTTAAACTAAAGCAGTTTATAATTGTGGAAGAAGAATGATACATGTTGTTCTACATTTTCTTATAGAATATCAAACTGAAATGTGTGGGTAAAGCCAGAAAGACAAAGCCACAATGGATAGAGTTACATCTACAAGTTTTGTTGTGGAATGTCTTTATCAGCTTTGTACAACTAAAATATTATATTAATACTTAATTATCTTGCAAAAGAGCTGAAGACCTAATATTTCAATATGCTTAAATAAAAAACATTCCTGTGTTGTTTTGGCTCAATGCTTACGGTCATCGTCTTGCTGAAAAATGTATCACCACCTTCGTTTTCAAGTTTGTCCAGATTTCACAGGGTGCCATTGTTGCTTCCCCTCCCAAAAAAAATTTATTTAGTACCTTACTAAGTAATGATAGACATGTGAAAACATGGCATGTGATCCACAGAATTCTATGCACAGATAATCTGCCAGAAATATGAAGATCTTTTGCTATGAAAATAGATAAATCGGTCTGTGCTTGTATGGTATTTAACCAAGACTCCAAAGTGCAATCAAACTTTTGCCCACTGACACACACATTCACATGGTAATGGTTAGGGTGACCAAACGTCCGTATTTCCCGGGACATATCCGTATTTCACGTCCTGTCCCGGGCGTCCCGGGTTTTTTTTAGAAAGTGAGGAAATGTCCTGATTTCACTGCGCACGACGCTCCGTGTGACGTAATCCCTGAGCCGCGTCAGTGCGGGCAGCCCTGTTCTTAATCAGAGGCTCTGTTGAAAAACCTAGGACGCATCCTCCAAGGACGCGGTCTACCTAGACTGGATCCTTCGAAGTCTTTGAAAATAAGGAGGCCGGAAGAGTTTTGGCTGTAAATTCGAACAGGTCTACCCTTCGGCGGGTTTTACCGCCGTATGCTCTGTTGCTTAGCAACCGTGAAAGTTGACACACAAAGCAGGAAAAGAATCAATACCGAGGTTTTCAAAACTGTTTGTTTATTTTTTAAAAGGTTAAAGTGAACAAAGACTACACTCACAAGAATCCAGAGTGGAATAAAGATTCCAACTACCGGGAGCAGGAACAAATAAAATAAAATGTAATGATAGAAACCTTAGTCAGTTAAATAACCTGCTGCTGTCATTTTGCACATCTCTGATGTTGCTATTTTCAAATATCTATTACTGTAAAAATGTCCATAGCTGCATATTGGTTATTAATTCTCCAGTTTTATTTTGTTAAAAGACTTTACAGAATTTTATTTTTTATATTTTAAGTCTTCCCTATTATGTTATTCTTATACATTTTTCTTAGGTCCTCATTTGTGTGACCATTTTCAATAATCTTTCTGCTGCTGTAAATGTGCCCATT